TGCTAGGACAGATGCCTGAGTCTCACTCAGATAAGGGCTCACTGCAGACCTGGGTTTGAGAACCAGCTCCACCCTTCTGGGTGTGTGAACTTGTGCTTCAAGTCCTTTATGACACGGTGTCCTTATCTATAATAATCATGACTCAGAGTAAGGAAGAAATGTGAGAAATTATTTAGCAAAGGATAGTAAACAAATATTACAAACCAGTATACAAAGTTCTAGAAGGAAGGACTGTTGAAATTATACTGGGGCCTTTGGGGGTTGGGGGGTAGGGAGAGAGGGCGGTAACAAGGAAAGAAGAGAAAATGGGAGTTAAATTGAGGGGAGGGTTCTAAATTAAAGCCAAGTCCTAAACCCAAAGTTTCATGTTTATTTTATACTAGAGGCCCGGTGCATGAAAATTTATGCACTGGATGGGGGGGGGTCCCTCAGTCTGGCCTACCCCCTCTCACAGTTCGGGAGCCCTCGGGCAGGAGGCAACCCAGAGATCAGGGGAAGGCGACGCCCCATCACACCTCTGCTGCTGCCACTGCTGGCAGCGCAAGCCTCGGCCAGCCCTGGTTACCTGAGCCTCGGGCAGCCCTGGGTGGCTGGGCAGCTGACATCTGAGGCTTGCCTGCACCTCGGGCTGGCCCTGGGCAAGTGGGGGGCTGAGGGGACTGGGGGTCTCCAGAGGCAGGTACGCGGAGCGGCCAGGCCCGCCTGGGGGTGGGCCCAGCCTTGCTGCATGCCTGCTGCCCTGGCGGGGCTGAGGAAACTGGGCACCGCCATCTTGTGGCTGTGGGCGCTGCCATCTTCGAGGGCGTGGCAGTCAATTAGCATATTCACTCCTTATTGGCTGTGGGCACCGCCATCTTTGAGGGTGTGGCAGTCAATTAGCATATTCCCTCCTTATTGGCTGTGGGCGCTGCCATCTTTGCGATGGCATGAGGGTCAATTAGCATATTCACTCTTTATTAGATAGGATATTATGCTTAATGCAAATGCATATGTTTCATCACCTGTAGACTAAGTAACATTTACTAAGTACCTTTTATATGCAAGGCACAGCAATAGGATTTTCCCACATATCTGTATCATTTAGTGTTCCCAAGACTGAGGCATTGACACTGCAGTTGGCTGTGATTAGAGCTCACTGTTTTTTCTACCTTTGAACACAGATAATCATTATCAGTGTTCTACCTGCAACCATCTATGGCCCCACATGTGTGCTTAGGTTTGTGTTTGTGCATAGAGATACAAATTTGTATTTTGGTGACTCTAAAAGTCACAGCATAAAAAAGATAACTTAATGCATTGTGAATTTTTAAAAATGTACAATATTTTTTACACTTAAAAAGGTAATAAAGCATAGGTTTTATGTGTCATATTTCATGGCTTCTAACTCTAATCTTTCTCCTGTGCTCCAAACTTTTACTTCCCATCCAGAGTTGAAGGCTGCTTCTGCTTTCTTTTCCTATTTCAGTTAAAGAAGTCAGGACCATCTAGTCAGCAACCCAGTTTTCCAAGATAGAAATTGGAGGTTACTTCCTACTGAGTTACCAAGTTGGGTACCTCCTAAATGTCTCTCATGTTTTCTCTTCAGGCTCACTGCTTGTGTACTGACCCTCCCAATCTTGCCTGGCTGACTGTAATTATCTGCCTCTGGTCTCTTTGTGTCTAGTATCTTCTCTCCATCCACAACGTTGTTCCACTTTCCATTCTAAAACACAGGTATGATTATTTCTCTACTTGAAACTTGCAATAGTTCTCTAGTGCCCATAAGATTAAGACCAAGGGCATTGGCAAGACATTATATGTCCTTCACTATCTGGCCCTGCCCTACTTTTATATCATTATTTGCTACCACTTGCCCAATCCTACAACTTTGGATCTACCTCTCCCAATACTGGGTACTTTTCAGAGTCCATCTTCAAATACACATTTCCTACCCACTTATATATATATCTAATTATATTTTCTCCAATCTGTTTTATTGAAAGATTCCTTTAAGATTATTATAGATTTGTTTTTTCCTCTGGACTTCCACCAAATTTTAAAAGGTTCATGGCTAAGAAATAATAAGACTAAAAGGCACTAAGTTTGGATGCCTTAGCATTGATGGTCCCAATACCAAAGGGAGTCAATCTCCTCCACCAGGGACTTCGAAGTACAGCCCAGCCCCATGAATGCCATTGAGCGCTACCTATGGACAGAATTTCTTTATCCACCAATGGGACTCATTGCACAGGTGCAGTGCATTTCTGTTGAACAATGGGTTATCAGCTGGATAATATAATATCCATACTATATAATAAAAAGCTAATATGCAAATTGACCAAATGGCGGAATGACCAGTCACTATGACATGCACTGACCACCGGGGGCAGATGCTTAACGCAGGAGCTGCCCCCTGGTGGTCAGTGTGCTCCCACAGGGGGAGCGCCGCTCAGCCAGAAGCCGGGCTCACGGCTGGCGAGTGCACCGGTGGTGGCGGGAACCCCTCCCGCCTCCGAGGCAGCGCTAAGGACCCCTCGGGGGATGTCTGCCTGCCGACTTAGGTGGGGAGTGGGCCTCAGCTGGCAGTCAGACATCCCCCGAGGGGTCCTGGATTGCGAGAGGGCACAGGCTGGGCTGAGGGCCCCCCCCCCAATGCACAAATGTTGTGCACCGGGACTCTAAAGTATATATATATTTTTTATATATATTTATATACTAAAATATATAAATATAATATCCTATATAATAAAAGCCTAATATGCTAAGTGTCTGGTTGTCCGGTGACCTCTTGACTGTTCAACCAATCAAAGTGTAATATGCTAATGATATGCTAAGGCCGCTCAACCACTTGCTATGATGTGCACTGACCACTAGATGGGAAGAGAGTCAACCAGTCGCTATAATGTGCACTGACCACCAGGGGGCAGGCACTCCAACCGGTAGGTTAGCTTGCTGCTGGAATCCAGCTGATTGGGTCTGAGCAAGATGGGTCGGACATGCCCTGAAGCCCTCCCATGGTCCCTCCCCGGCTGGCCAACCTCCCGCATCCTCCCCTGGCCCCGATTGTGCACTGGTGGGGTCCCTTGGCCTGGCCTGCACCCTCTCGCAATCCGGGACCCCTCAGGGGAAGTCGGAGAGCCACTCCCTTCGGGAGAGCGCAAGACGCAGGGCTCATGGCTGGTGAGCGCTGCTGCGGCGGTGCGAACCTCTCCTGATCGGGACTGATTGGGCGTGAGCTTGTGGCAGGTGCAGTAGGGCCGAGATGAGTGGGAGCGGCAGGTAGGAGCTGTAGGCGGCGTTGGACTGTGGGTTTTGGCCCGATCCCCACAGGCCACCCCGAGGGACCCCACCCGTGCACAAATTCGTGTACCGGGCCTCTAGTATATATAAATAATTTTGCTTTTCTTTACAAGTATGTTATTCTTTCATCAAGGTAATAAACACCTAAGTTTTCATGGACAATTCTAAATGTGCATTATTAAATTTAATTTCTCTTGTTAGCAAAAAAAAATTATAAATAAAAAGCAAATTATATTTATTTGGCATGTAAATAAAATTATAATACTGATAAAGATAAAAACTCGATTTCACTAATGTACATAAGGCCTTTATAAGCTAGTTCTCAATTTATCTCTGAAGTATATTTGGAGCATAAAAATTAAAAAGGAAGGTTCAGTTATTAGCATTAGGGGATGATTTATACAACTTAAATGATTGCTCTTGATACATCAAAGCCTATCAGAAAAGAATGCTAAAAAATAAAGGTATTAAGAAAACTTCTTATGATTGAATATATTTTGTGTTATGGAATAATGTACCTCTGTTTCCAAATATGTGATCCACATGGGTTTTGACCAGAGCTTTAGTTTCAAAACAATATGCTCTAATCAAAGGAGCTGACTGGTCCAGAGTAAAACATTATCATCATTAATGACATTTTAAAATTAAGTTTTAGTCTAGAAAAACTTCTTAAAAATTATAGCATGTGTTCATAAATAAAAAACTAAAACAAAAAACCTTCGACACCAGGGACTGAATAAAAGTTCGAATGATTTTCTACTCTAAAAAAGTCACAAAATGATTTTTGTTGTCCCCCTTTATTAAGACCCAACATGGATACATGCTAGCAAACTGTCTTCCTATGCAATGTGAAAGAGAACACTTTTTAAAAACAGCCATTTACTTCTTACTTAAAAGGTAGGACCAAATTCTAATCCCATATAGGCCTGTGGGAGTTCTCAGCAGGATTCTCATCCTATGCAATCTGATAATAATAGATGACTCACTCTTGTTTATTTTAAGAACTCTCCCAACAAGTTGGGGTTGGAAACACCAATGTTCTTAGATATTATAAAGAGTATGCAATTGCACATTTAGCACACTATTAACAAAATTAGTTTATGGTCACTGAATATAAAATGGCAAGTCAGATATCTCAGATGTCATCCAACATTTTGGACTTGCAACAATATGCTGACTATGTTATTAAAATAGAAAACCTTTGCAGAGCATTAACCTATCATTACATAGAGTAAATGGCATGGCACTGCAGCCTAATTAGCAGTGTAGCTTGCATCTATAAAATAGAATTAGCACTACTGCTCCTTTTTTATTGTTAGTTTGTGTTTCTAGAAAGGTGTGACCTTATCTGTAAGGTTTGGTTCATTTATGCCCATCTGCAAAGGATTTAATTATGTTCTTTTAGCTCTACACTGAGGAAATTGAAAATGGCCACTTCAAAATTAAAATTGTTAAAGAAATTAGTGAGTAGATTACTCCCTCACCCTTCTTTCAGAGATAAAGAATGAAAACATGTTTAAATAAATAAGGCATAAGATTTTCCGAAAAGAAAATTCTAGGCAAGGAAATTATTCATCATTTTCCTTTCCTCTTTCCCACGTGTATTCTGCAAGATTTTCTAGTTTGCCTGGGCAGCATGAGTTAAGGGGAAAGTGTATATTTGAGAAAATTCCTAACAGTTATATCACATTAGTGTCAGCAGCCAGAAAACATCAACTTACATCGGAAGAAGGTGATTCCAGAACAATGCCAAATCCTAGGATGTGGTTCTCCCCCGTGGAAGTGCGCTCAGCTGCCTGGAGGGACGACTGCTCTGAGGCCACACCTGTCTTCTTAGTCTCCAACACAGTGGGCTTCTGCTTCACAGTAAGAGGTTCAACAGTCTTTGGGGGCACTTTTTTCTTTTTATTTCTCTTGCGTGAGACAGCAGTTCGCTGGGAGCACATAAGGGAAATTGGGGGTTGTTGTCTGTTTGGGGTTCCAACTGTGAACAATAAACAAAAATATGGTACAGGCACTTGTGTCCAACTTAGGAAAATGTCTCACCTGTCTATCTGCATGCTCCATTGGCTGAGACTGCAATGGGCTCACTCAAGGATGAAGCACACCACATAAAGCACGCGGGACCTGGATTTACCAAATAAAGGCTCTGGAGCACCTTAAAGTTCTACAGGCAGAAAAACACCCCAGAGAGAACTCTGCTGCAGATGCTGGTGAATAATTGGATTGTACTGCTACTGCCGGGTTCAATGATGAGCTACGAGGAAACATTTGAGCATGATTTTACAAATCACATGGCATTGTTATGTAAATGAGAACTCCAGAACTTAAACTGAGGTGTAGATATCCGTATTTTCTGGGAAGGCAGTCTCAGGAATATTCAATTGTCATTTGGGGTTAAACTGATCAGTTGCTAGCACTAAAATGGACAAAGACTGGACAAGGATGATCACTTGGGTAAGTCTGAGCAAATGAATAGTCTGGAATGACCAGTATGCATGTACCAGTAAGCATGTGGGCAAAGCCTGCTAGTCACTTGTCAGGTCCTGTAACCCCTTCCTCACAGACATCAACTGCCTCCACAGCACTACACTGCTGGCTCAGACCTGGCCACTTCTCCACACCTCAGTTTTATGTGGCTGAAAAATAGAAATAACAGAGTCCTACACGCATCAAGCAAATGAGCAAAATCCAGAAATAGTTTGCGTTCCAAAGACAAAAAGCACTGAACAAGAACTAAGTACTAATACTGAAAATATACTTAAAGAAACAAGGATGGTAATTATAGTTTTTACAGGTGCACTTTGAGAAGTAATGTTTGTTAACCATTTAAAAATACTCGCATGGAAAATTTAAAAGAAAAATATGAAATTTTCATGTGTTAATATGGCTTACTAAATGTGACCATAGAATATGCCTGCCTTTTTGTAGAAATACACCTATAAATATGTCAAATGCAAACTGAAGATCTTTAAATGCAAATAAATATGGAATATTTCCTATCAGCTTGCAAATAAACAATATTTACACTTTAAATTTGATATTTTCATTTCCAGCCTATAAAGAAATTTTTAACTGTTGGAAACAAACTACAGACACTGCATATAAACTGAAAAGTTTTTAATCACCCATGCAGTAATTCATTGCGCTTATGGTTTCTCGACCTGGAGCTTGAAAAAAATCTCAGTGCCTCAGCCTTACCCCAGAATAATTGAATCAAAATTCCCACGCACTGAGATTTCTCTAAAGTTCCTCAAGTAATTCTAATGTGCAAGCCAGAGTGGAGAACTTTTCTCTCTTCTCTCTGAATTTTCCCCAAAGTCAAGGGGACTATTAAAGCAATTATCAAGATAGTCTAGAACACACGCCTCTCCAAGACTCACTATCTAAATTAAAGGTGAACGTATTTTTGGTTTCAACACAGGGACTATCAGTTTTCTTCTCCTTTTGCAAGTCTAGACATAGCCAAAGTTTCTTGCATCCAGATCTTATTGCTTGATCCTACTACCTTAAAGCAAAGATAAAACTTTCTAAATACCTGTCTTGAAGGCAATAAATTCTAGCCACACAGCATACATTTTTTGTTGTTGTTGATTTGTTTTTTGTTAATCCTCACCTGAGGATATTCTTTGCATTGACTTTTACAGAGTGGAAGGGAGGGAGAGGGAGAGGAAGAGAGAGAGGGAGAAGAGCGAGAAACATCAATGACAAAGAGACACACTGGCTGCCTCCACATGTGCCCTAACCGGGGCCAGGGATCAAATCTGCAATCCAGGTACGTACCCTTGAGCAGGAATCAAACCCGCAACCCTTAGGTGCATGGGCCAATGCTCAACCACTGGGCCACACCAGGCAGGGTGCTCACCTTACTTTTATGCAATCTTGGGTGACTGAAATGTCTTAAGTAGTAAGCTTTTTAATATCAAAACCACATCATTAAATATTAAAATTTTACTAGAATTCACTAAAAGGCACCACGTACAATTTCTGAACCATGACCTTCATGAATACCTTTACAATGAAAGGAGGGGAATGCTAGTCACACATGACTGTACTATTTCCTGCTTTAGGCCAAGGCCAAGGAGCTGTTTTCCCTGACAAGAGGAAAAGCTTAATAAGATGATCGATTATTTTCGGTACATGTCACAAAAAAGTTCTGTTTCTCCCCTAATTGTGAAGATTAGAAAACAGAGCCCCTATCATCAAGATCTAGACTTCTATAAAATACTCTGTGGTCTTTATTACAACACTAACAAATTGCTTACACTCGTGCCATGCCTTACAGAATTCATTTACGATCTCATTCTCTGTTGAAAACAACCCTGAGAGTGAGAGGTTAGTACTCCAGAGACAGGAGAGAAATCTGAGGCTCAGAGAAGTTGCATAGGAGTAAGGGGAGAAACTGAACTCTCACCCCAACCTGCAAATGCACTGCTCTTCTATTCTTCAGCCTAAGAGGAGTGAGGACAAAAAAGGCGTCATGTAAATGAAGAAGACAAACTGTGCCTGAGCTCCTATGTCCTGAATGTCAGGGAGAAAAGCCACCAGCAGGGCCCATGCTTCCCAAAGGCCTCCTCCACACCTACCGGACCGTGTGCCTTCCACACTGTCATGCCAAGCCCCAAAAGGACTCGTGCAGGAGTGGAGGCCAAGATGCAGGCAGCCACCAAACAGAGCACCTCAAGGGGCCAGATAAGTCAGCTCATTTTCTTTCCTGATCGGAACCTCTTTGTCTGTTCACATTCGGATAATAAGCTGAAGAACTCTGCCCACCTTCATGTATAATTGTTTCAAAATATAATGAACCAACATGTGAGGTGCTAGGAGATCAGGGGGTGAGGTATACAGAGCACATGTACATAGGTAAAGGATTAGTATTATTAGCAATACAAATTTTGTTAGATGTTCTAAAAGGAAAATAGGTTGGAAGAAAAGCTGAGAAAATGGATACCTAAAAAAATAATAGCAAGACAGCAGAGGGAAGAACTGAACAATAAAAGCACAATAAAAAATATCCCAACTGAAGATGTCAGACATGCATTAAGAATCAGGGGACTTGATCTGATGTGTAATCATTGTACCTGCTTGAATTTGCATTAATTTCCGCATGGTCTTGAGTTCTTGGAGAATGGCCTGCAATGTTGACTGGCAGTTACAAGTGCAGCAGTTTGATCCAAATGATGAATTTACCACTGGAAGTTCTCCTAAGCAGGAAAGAAAAGAATGACATACTCCAAACAATACCAAAATTATAAAGAGAGGGGGAAAAGGTATCTTGACAGGACTTTGAAGCCTGTGCAATTATGAGACTGCGCCTAAGGAAAACGTACCCAATAATTTTCACAACTTAAATTTGGGGGTCTGACTTTATCTAATTATCCAGGCTTCTCTGTATTATAAGGTTCCTGCTGTTTCACGGGTGGTGGAGCCGCAGGAACGTCCGCATACAATGTGCTGTCACAGCAGGCCTCCCTCTAGTCACACCAGTTCATCTCAGATAACAATAGCTTAAAACTTCACTAGAAACATGCTCACGCTATTCTGCACAAAAATCTAGCTCTGAGAACCGCCTTACAAAAAACCTGGTAGCTACATGTGTTATAAAGGTTCCGGTTAAGAATTAAATGTCTTAACTATTAAAAAATAGTCTCAGTATTGAGCATGCTATTTCAAAAATTAAGAACTGTCAACACATTAAAACTTTTAGACACTCTCTGAGTGTGGTGGGTGGGGTGGGGAAGAGTGGGGGAGCAGAGTATGGAAGGACATTTGAACTTGTACTGGCTTTTCTCCACCTTAATAAAGGCAATGATCCTATATATTTTTTCCATTCCCATTCCTTTTTTTTTAATTAAATCTTTATTGTTCAGATTACATTTGTTCTTCTCCCCCCCCCCCATAA